CAGGTTTTTGTTTGTCGGGAAGCTTTATAAATAATGCTTTCCTTTTGCAACTATGAACAAGGCATTTTCTCCAATGGTTTACCTCCATGATAAACAAATAGACAAATAAATGTATTTATTTACTTTGGTTTCTAGGGATAAATTATAGGGCTAAATACATGAAACCTTCATTTAAAAAAATGAAGAAAAGATAAGCACATATTTAAAGTCCTGGGACACAGGCTGAACTTACGGGAAAAGGGCATCCAGGACCCTCTGGCCAGTCAACAGAGGATGATTGGCTGGCAGCTTCTCAGTGACAGGTCGAACTTGCCTAACGGGCCAAACTTGGACCATGCTGAACTTCTCCTTGACACCTTCAAATTCCAGCTCCAAGACAACATCCTATGAACAGGCAGCACGATCGTCAGTACAGACAAATTGGTTAGGATTTCAGATTCTAACTTCAAGGTAACTGCAGAGTGGTAAAGATTCCTTTGGATGTGGGAGAGGAGAGTTTTACTGATTGTGAACCCTCACAAACAGTCCAGCTTTTTTTAAAACAGGTACATTATTTTTCTAATGATGTTTTTAAAAAAAGCCTCCATACCATCAAAAACAGAGTTGCTGTTGAGCTGACCCCAATTTATGGTGACTTCCTAGGTGTCAGGGTAGAACTGTGCTCGCGTTTTCAAGGGTTGATTTTTAAATGTAGATCGCCAAGCCTCTCTTTTACGTTGCCTCTGGGTCAATTTGAACCTCCAACCTTACAGTTAGGTGCTGAGTGTATTAAGCATGCACACTCCCCAAGGATTCTGAATTGTTGTCATCATGTGTATGGTGACACATGGTGACCCCATGTGTCAGAGCAGAATTGTGTTTCATCTCTCATTTTGCAGAGAGGGGAATCTGTACTCTCTTTCAGGGTGGCTACTTCCAATAGAAGTCAGTCTCCAAGTGAGGGGGTGAATCTAGCTGCTTGGATAGAATTTCAATCATAACTCTTTTGTTGTCTTTATGTCATAGAGCACAAACTTATTCATGTGAAATAATATAATAATTACCTTTTATCATAATTTGCTGAAGGAAAATTATATGCTATAAAGGCCTCCTCAATAAAGTATCTGTAACATCAATGGCTATTATGGGTCTACAGCTTTTGAGATAACGTATAAATAACATTAAAAGGCTAAGTTTTACATGGCTCACTCAAACTAAGAATTCACACAATCTATTGTACATATAATTATAAGACTATAAATAATGAAAATCAAAGTCTAGTCTATGTCTAAAGAGTCAAGTCCTCATAAATGTAGCGTACACAAGTTAGGAAGGCAGGAAAATATTCTATTAAATCTCTCTCCTAAAAAGGAAACGATACATTTCATTTTTTAATTTCCAAGTGCAAGTTGAAACAAAACTTTGAAGGAAAAAATAATCATGGAAGTTACTTAAAATCTGTACATTAAAAAAATCTGTACATTAACCATCAATTCTATAACTACTTATATCATTAAAACTGGGCAAATATCAAATAGAATAGGACCACAGAGTTCAAAAAGAGCTTCCATAGTACTTACAGAGGTATCATAGTTTCCAGGAGGAGCAATGTAAGTTACTGTTCCTCTGTTTCGTGGGGGTAACATAATTTTGTGTCTGATGAGAGAGTTCTCATTGACAATTCCATAAATATCTCCACCAGTGATATGACTACCAACCTAGGGAACAAATGCACGTGCTGTTTCATGTTCAAATAAGTGTTCAAAAAATCTACCAAGTAGACACACTACTGCTGCAACAAGTTCAGTTATTTACTTACTTATCAATAAAACATTGGTGCTATAATGCTATTAGATGATTCAATAAGATTTTACACTATTGAAGGCAAGTCAAAAGTATGGCTACAAAATCACAGAACCTGCGTCAACACTTCCAACAGTGCTGCTCCCACCTCTCTGACCCTTCTCCCAGTCTGCACTTTTCCACTCACACCACGACAAAACGACACTTTTGGCATCCTCCAGCGACTCAAATTGTGCTCCTTTTAAATTTATTTTAATTTAGGGAACAAAAAGAAGTCTGAAGGGGCAAGATCAGGAGTGGAGGGTGGATGGAGTAAGGTTTCCCAAGGAAATCCTTGTTGGACACCTTTGCTAACTTTAAACATTGAGCAGGTGCATTGTTGTGATAAAAAAAAATTTCCTCTGTACAACTTTCCTTCCCTTTTTTCTTACCAGCGCAGTTTTCATCCCTCTTAAAACTTCTTCTTAATAAGCCCCTCTGAGAGTCCTGTGTCAGGAAAATCTACCAATACAACTCCTTTGGAGCCCCATAAAATATTCACTATAACCTTCTGATCTGACCTTTCTATCTTGAACTTAAATAGCCCAGCAGATTCCCTCAGAAGCTATTTTTTGATTATTTTTTTGAAAGCACTTTACAGAGATTAAGACAAGATGTATTAATAAGAGAACTTGTATGTGGCCATCCTCTGATAGCAAAGACGGTTAATACGTTTAAATACATATTAAAATAATGAACATGAACTAGATCCCAAGTAGTAATACTGTTTGAATGACCCTTGTGTGCTTCTGCAAAGTTCACTTCCCATTCTTCTACAAACTTTAAAAATTCTTGGTTACGTTAGACATACCCGTAAGTTTTTGCAAGGTGTAAAATCCCATTTGATATCTCTGCTAAGTGCAGACACATTTACTCCTCTGGGGATGTAGATGCTTTGAGTCCGACTGCTGATATCCGACAGAGGTCTCTGAATACCATCAAAAATGGCTCCCATAATGCCAGGACCAAGCTCTACTGAGAGGGGTTTACCAGTGCGGAGTACAGGGTCTCCGACAGACACACCAGCTAGAGAGAATAGGTTGAGGAAAACTCACTGTTTAGAGAGACCAAAAGGGCGCAGCACATTTCTTGAAGACCTACCATAAGGGCTAAAACAGAGGTTATACCAAACTTTCTCCATCCCTAGAATCTTAGTGCTTCAATAGTTTGTCTTCCAATGCCCTTGGCCCAAAGATGTATCTAACTGTCCATTTAGAAATGGCAGGTCTAGATAACTGAAGTATTCATATCTAACAACTATATAAGCAATTTAAAATATTGATAAACAAACTGAAAGGAAAACACATTTCCATTTCATTCTTAAATCACCAGAGTTTCTTATGCATAGGACATACATGCCTGTTGAGCATTATACAATGTTCTAACCTTGGAATCAGATGGGATACTACGTGTTCCACACTGACTTTCACATGGAATCTGCCTTTTAGATAAGCAACCACTAGCACTCAGCTTCACAAAGATAAGGTGGCATCATTGAGGAGAATGTAGCATAGTCTGCTTAACAAACATCATGGAATTGTTTATCACCCAGTTACTAGGTCACAGGGCATCTGACAAGATGTCCACTCTTCCTTCGTCACCAGTCTAGATACCCTGGGGCCCTACCTGGGGGTTCACTGGGACTACCCCAGGGTACCGTGTCACACGGTTTGGGAATAACAAGGCTGGAATCAAAAGGAAGCAAGAGCCTCTCTTTAGGGGGAGCTATTGTTTCAATTCCCTTACTGAGGACTAGCTGTCACCTGGAAAAGGACATCAACACCTGGGCAAAACCTTGAAATCTTAGGCACTAAGCAGTAGTTTTAGAAAAGAAAGGATGAAAACTCGCAAACAACACCACTCTAAATTCTCCTTCTCTCACATCTGTCAATGGGAGTAAAATTAGTATAGCTGCTATTGAGAGTAATTTAACCGTCTCTATCAAAATTGAAAATACATGCATCTTTGACACTGGAATTCAACTTCTGTGAATTAATACTATAGTTGAATTAATACTATAGTTATGCTACCACATTCTTTATAACATCAAAGACTACAAATAATTAAGTGTATACCATTAAAGGTTGCTTAATAAATTATGATAAATCATATGGCAGGATCCTATACACTGTCAAATACGAAGAAAAGCTTCTGTGCATTGTTCTGAAAAGATCTCTAAGTAATTTCACTTCCAGTATTTGATTATCAATTTTTTCAAACCTACAGCAAAGTTGAATGAACTATAAAATGACCATCCATATATATACCATCTAGATTCTACCATTTAACATTTTAATACCTAAAAAAAAGTGAGAATTTAAAAATTTTAACTACCCATCTTCCATAATATTTAAATTTTTAAAGGAAAAAAGATGTAGCACCGTACATATAATAAGCTCTTTGGGGATGGAAAGGGAGGAAAAATAAAAATAAAACATTTGTGTTTACTCATACATGTGCTTTAAAAAACTAGAAGGATATACAAGTTATCAATAAAAGTGGCTGTATATGAGTTGCCTGGGTTTAATAACACCAAACACAAGGATGACAAAGCTGAGAAGGCAGGTGGTTACAACATACATACATTATTACATACAAACTTCCTATTTTTAATTTCTAAATAATATATAAGATTAAGTAAAACATAAAATAGGGTAGGGGAGAGATAACCAGTTTGATTAACCCTGAATACAAAGACTTCTCATTTTATTTAAAATTTTCAAATAATTTTATTTTGAATTCACACCCAAAAAGTCACTGTCGATTATCTGCCAGTCTGTGTTTTAATGGGGGGTGGGGTGGGGTGGGGGGGAAGACTATGACAAATAACTAAAGAATTCATTCTGACCTCGAGAGTTAATCTAAGAAAAAGTCATAAATGTGTGAATGAGAATTTTTTAAAAAGTGATTCCCTTCATAAGGTTTAAGCCTTTATCTCTGTCATAGAAATTTAAATATATAACCTATGTTTGAAAGCCAAAATATGATAGCCAAATACACAGTAAGAATTCTCCAGCACTATAGCTGTAATGCAAGGGCATCTAGCACTATTCATTAGAATAAGAGTGAAGAGTGATGATTTATCTAGACTTGCTATTTTAAATGGAATCATAATTGAAACAATTTAACGAGACCAATCAATGGTGATATTCTTTTGTCCTTTCTTCTATGGTATGGATTTCTCTGAAGAAAAATTCAAATTAGGTTGCCTGAAGCTTATGAACTACTGAAATATTAGGAGCTATTGAAATTAAGAATACTAACTTAAAAAAATGAGAGCATTAATTTCTTGTATCTTTTCCCCTCACTACCATTGTGCAAAATCAGATTTTTTTCAATACCAGCATTACACACTTGTAATAATATCAGCTGATTCTGCTTCTACCTTTGAATTAAACCCTTAACCTTTGACAGAGAAAGAGGTAGGAAACTGAATCAAAAGGATACACGTTTCTTCATAGACCTGAATGGTAGCCATATCCCCCTCCAATCGAATAATCTCTCCAACCAACTCGCTGTGGCCCACTCTCACCAGCTCGTACATGGCGGCCCCGGCCATGTCACAGGCTGTCACCACTGAAAGACAAACAGAAGAGGACGTTGTGATACAGTTGATTAAATCCAAAATCTACTACTATTGATTCAATTTCAACTCAGAGCAACCCTATATAGGGTTTCTAAGACTATAAATCTTCATGGAAACACACAACTTCATTTTTCTCCCATAAAACAGTTGGTGGATTTGAACTGCTTACCTAGTGGCTAGCAGCCTAATGGCTAGCCCACAGCGCCAATAGAGCTCCGTATACAAGTGATTAGAACTGTTTTTTAGCTTGTCTTTGCAACTAGTTAGTGCTCCCTCATTGTTATGTAATAGTTAATGTTCAAACAAGAACTATTCTAACTTAACATTTAAGAACCATGAAGACTTACTGATTCCATTAATACTTATTTGTACTTCCCACAGAGGAACAATTATGAAACAACACAGGAAGTAACAGAATTTTAAAATCCTGTTTCATAAACAAAATAAGATGCCATTCCTTATACCTCATTAAGCAGTCAAGAAGTATCCATAGGCCCCAGGAGTGGTTCCGAGACATTTCAGAAGGATCATCTTTCCTAAAGTCTACTGAGGGGGCCTTCTGGGTTTTCCCTAAAAGTCCATGTGTGGATAGTGTCTGTCCTACAGATCTTGCTGAGTCGTCAAAAGGAACAGTGCTTCCTCATGATTCTTTGCTATCTTCTCAGATACTGTTTTTTGAGATTCATAGTTGTAAAGCCATGGGAAGAAAAATCAGAACCAGCAAAATGTAGAACATTCTTATTATTTGCCAATGAGTTCAAGAGTGTTTTATGTTACAAGTGGGTAGGAGCTTCTTAGAAATATTCTGAAAAGCAGCAGTTCCCATAAGGAAAATAGTTTACCATATATACTTGAGTTTAGGCTGAGTTTCTCCAGCACATTTTTTCAGCAGCTTTTGTGGCAAGAATAGGGTGCCTTGGCTGATATTTGAGTTATACTTGAGTATATATGGTAACTCTTCCTCCATTTTATCTAAGGAAACTATTTTATGTTGTTGTTGAAACTAGTTAGTGACTTCTCGTTGTTATCTACTAGGACTTTACATGTTTATTTATAAAGTGCAGACACTTATGAGTTGAGCTGAATAATTATATTCCTCTAAATACTATTTCTTACTCTCGAGCTCTTATTACTTGAGCTGTGCTTTAGAGGGCAAAAATATAAGCCCTGAACAAATCATTTTGATTGCTTTATTATAATATTAATAGATACTCATGCTTGAGTGACTGAGAAAATAATATTAAGGGAAAATGATAAATGAGGGGGCTTCAAAAAGTTAATGGAAAATGGAATTAAAAGATAGAATGTTTCCTAGAAACACTCTCATTTTACTCCTTGGTGTTTCCCAAAAATATACTTAATTCTTCGGTTGCTTTAATGTGTACCAGTAGACAAGTAATCTTACACTAATTTCTTGCTCTCTTAGGGACACATACACATAAAACTTTAGTTTGCTGTATCTAGATTACAACAGTAAAACTAATTTGTATCCCACTAACACAGCATGTAATTAAATACAGATATTATGCTGTTTATTGACTTTAAAGCAATGATTCTCAACCTGTGGGTCGCGACCCCTTTGGGGGTCAAAGGACTCTTTCACAGGGGTCGCTTAAGACCATCGGAAAACACATATTTCCGATGGTCTGAGGAACTGAGACACTGCTCCTCTAGCCATCTCCAGGCGGGTCCGCACTCATGAAGATAAGCGGGTGAGAAGACTGTTAGACATGCTACACCATGCTTCAAGACAAAATTTCATTGATTTTTAATTAGAAATAAATATTTCACAATATATAATTACATATTATTTTTGTGAGTAATCACCATGCTTTTATGATGTTCAGTTTGTAACAATGAAAATATATCCTGCATATCAGATGTTTACATTACAATTCATAACAGTAGCAAAATTAGTTATGAAGTAGCAACAAAAACAATGTTATGGTTGGAGGTCACCACAACATGAGGAACTGTATTCAAGGCTTGTGGCATTAGGAAGGAATGTTGAGAACCACTGCTTTAAAGTCTATTGATTTAAAAAATGAACTTACAAATTTAAGTAAAATGGCAGGAAAAACTTTAATTTTAAAAGTACTTTGGCTTGTATGATATGTGGATTATGTCTCAATAAAAGTGATTTTTAAAAGTACTTTAGCAGTTTTCAATTAAATTAAATATTAATTACAGATTATAAAGATTACTTATCTGGCTTCACTGTAGAATCAACATGTTTAGTAAAATCTTCCTTCAGAAACTTATTTTTTGTTTTTGTCTGCTTTTAAATTGAACTTAAAATATTTAAGACTTCTTTATCAAACTGCATGTACTTTTAGACTTGAAACTTTAAAAAGTCAATGCCTACATTTATCAATGTTTCATTTACATATGTATAATCAAGAGACTAGAAATAAAATCTAGAATGATCTCGCCTTTTTTTCAGGATTGACTGACAGCAACACTCTAATTTATATTTATTGGTCCCAACTGCTTTTATTATCCTCTACAGGTTCATGGTAATTTTCTAGGTCTGAGAAAACCACAATAATACAGTTATATGCAGTGGGAACATAGATCAGAATCTCAAATGTTTCTTTGGCCAGCCCATTGAAGCCGTCTCTCTCAGCTACTGCAGCATGCTGTCTCTCCTCGTGAAGTCCAGGGAAAGTCTGCCCTCTAAGAGCATGTCGTGTATGTCTGCAGGGTACTCCTGAGTAAAGCTAGAGCAATCTGAGAGAAGAGGGGCAGAGGCGCTTCAGAACCAGCAAGTGACAAACTGCACCCCAGAGGTCAACCCCAGCTACTTCGGGGGTTTTTTGTAAATAAAGTTTTACTGGAATGCAACCCCACTTTCTCACTTACACGTGGTCTATGGCTGCAATAGACATTTCACACTCTAACGGCAGAGTTGCCTAATCATGACAGAGACCATATGGTACGCAAGCCTAAATTACTTAGCATCTGGTCTTTCATAGAAAAAGTTTGCCAACACCTGCTCAAGACCAAAGAGACAGAACATGGGCACTGAGGAAAAATTAAAGACTGTAATTATTTAGGAAATGGGAGGCACGGCCACTGACATTTCCACAAACACAAAAGACCATCACCACCTCCAATGTACCTACAATAAAGAAAAGACTAATGCACGAGGCCATAAAAAAGGCATTAGGAAAAAGTGAATTTCATGACACGGCACCTACCACGACAAGGATTATAAATAAATAATCAAGGATTACAGCTGGGAAAACACTTCTTTTTGTGGGGGTAAGGGGAAGTACAAAACGAGCACTAGAATAAGATTTATTATTTAAAAAGCAATACATCAGATTTTGGCAGGATAGACATTAACCTGAAAACTATTTTCATTTTAAGTCTCAGGTAATAAGAATTCTTTCCTCAGGTAGCTAGGTATGTGATAGTAGAAATGACCACTCGGAAGGATTTATATAGTGCTGGGAAATGCTCTAGAGACAATTTTCTAAGTTTAAACTAAATTAAGAGATATTTACTGTATGTCTACCAAATGCAAAGTATTGGGTACTAAAAGCTATAGAATTTATAACATTTATAGCATTTCACCTCAAATTTAACACAAAAAGAATTGATAGTCACAAGAAAGTATTAGGTCTACATTTAGGCGCCTATCTAACGCAGGATATCACAAACTAGTAGCTGAATAACTATCGACTGTAGATACCAGAGCTAGATGCTACCTTGTGGTGGCCGGAGTGCCTCCGTTTTAGGAAGCTAAGGGCTCTTTTTAAGGAATGATAATGATAAAATGTTGAACAGGAACTTTGTATTTCTGCCTAAAGCAACCTGAAAAGATCATTAGCTGAAGCTGGAACCCTTACTGTGGAGGTTATTAAGTTATTACTTACCAGGTCCTGAGACCCCATGGACAAAACCAAATGTGCTTTCTTTATCTTCATCGAGTATTTTGGGTAACTTGGAGAAATCCATCATGCTTATTTACCTGTATTTTAAAAATAATAAGCTATAATTACAAACCCCAAAGAAAAAGAATCAAAATAGGTAATCAACTCTCATACTCGGTATAAAGCAGGCTTCAAAATGTTTATGATAAAAAGGGAATGAAAAGATATGAATTTTCTCACACACTGTTGGAAGCCCCCTCATATTCTTGGTTTATTATCACTGCTCACAATAAAATGCATGATTTAAATTAGGTTAAGTCTCTCTTTCCTGAATACTTCATAATTACAGTTCCAAATTCAAAGTCTTTCATAGGGCATATCAAGGAGAGTAACAATGTATAAAATCTTTCAAACAACCCAACCAGTCCAAAACGATCTGCCATCCCTTCCTTTAGGCACAGTGAACCTCTGGTCAGTTCTCAAAACAACAGGCACACGCTGCCTCAGTGCCTCTCCACACTGTTCCCTCAGCCCGGACACGTCCCTTTCTCCCCGAGGCTTCTTTGCCCGCTCTTCAAGATAGTAACATACACGTCTCCTTGACTGCTTTGTGTTTCACCATCTACTTTTACCAGCGTACACTTACATATTAACGTTTTCCAAAACTGAATTATCTCCTCTCTGAAAAAAATAGAAAACGTCAACTCTTATAGTTTGAGAAGATACAATTAATTTACCAAAGTGTTTCCCAAATGTCTGCAAAAGATGTTAAAAGTGAAAAAGTACACTTGGGAAAGAGTGTTAATAAATTTGGGGATTACTCCAACCTAGATTTTTCTATTAAAGATGTGCTAAGTATAAAAACATTGCGAAAGCTCTGAAAACTTGTACCTTCAAGTAAGTTGTTTAGTTTGCTTTTAACTATTTGACTTTAAAATTTACCTGGAAGAATATTTACTTTTTCACTGAAACACCTTTTACTATCTTAGGATGTAGGTTTAAAAATTATGTCTTAACTCAAACTCTTTATATGAGAAGGTTCCAAAAAGTTCATGGAAAAATTCTATTATCATTCAATTCCATTTTTCCATGATCTTTTTAAAGCCCACTCCCTCACTGGTGTTCAATATGAAGGGGACCCTCTTCAGATGCAAGTAGAAAACTGGTGGAAAAGTAGACCATCTATTTTTGACTGCTGCTCTAATTTTAAAATTACAGCTGATTTCTATAGAAGTATGAAATACGTAGGTATAAATGTAGATAAGTATATCTGTAAATATATAAAGATAGGTATATTTGTATATGTATGCATATATATATAATTACAACCAGAATGCAGATGGACTTTGGGCCTCTAGTTAAATCTTAACTCAGTACAAGAACCATTTGTTCTAATAATGTGACACTAGATGATACCTTTGCTGAAGGCAAAATGGTTGCATAAGCAAATGTGGTGAAGAAAGCTAATGGTGCCCAGCTACGAAGTTATACCAGAGGTCATCTAGCAGGGAAGCAACAAAGCCCACATGGAAGAAGCACACCTGCCTGTGTGATTATGAGGTGTTGATGAAGATATGCATCAGAAGTTCAAAAACAAGCAACCAAATTGACATGAAGGAACACTGGCAAGTTCAGACCCAAAACCCACCTGTAAGATAATTGGACAGTCCCTCACAAAAAGGCCACGTGGATGGGATAATAAATCTAGGGAGTAGTATAGCACTGATGAAACACAGGACTATCCTCTAATTCTTTAATAGTTCTTCCCCTTACTATTATGGTCTTTGTTTTACCTCATTAATCTTGTTAAACCTGTATATGTTCATTTGTATAATTCAGAGCATTTGATGTATGAAATCCAAGATAGATAACCCTTCAGAAATAGTAATGGGAGTAATGATTCCCCCTCAGGGTATGGGAAGAGGGAGCTAATAGCAATGATGACTGTATAATTCCTTTTGAGGGTAATGAATAACAGAATTGCATGTGAACAGATACACTAGAAGGTGTAGGATACAGCAAATAATGATATATAACATAATAAGGGTTCCTGGGGGGCTGGGTGGGGAAAGGAGGGAGGGGATAAAGAGGAGCTGATATCAGAGTTCAAGAAGATAAAAAATAAAACTGATGGTGGTATAGCAATTGTACAATTATGTTTGATCTAACTGAATTATGGATTGTTATAATATCTGTAAGAGCTCCACACCAAATGATTAATTAAAAAGTGTTAAATAATGTTCTAATACATTAACTTGACAAGGGGAGCAGAGCAAGGAGGTCCTGAGGGAGTACCAAAAATAGACTTTGGGGCTAGGGCGTGGCACCCCATCTGACTTCACTGGAAAATACTCCCAAAGGTCAACAAGCAGACCTTGAACTATTTACAGGCTTTTCTTTTTTTTTTGTCATTGTTTTTTGTTGTCGTCGTCATAGTTTTGTTTTCTTTTGTCGATTTGTTTTGCTGTCTTGTTTTTTTGGTGTGTGCTTATTATTATCTCTACAGGTCTATCTAGATAAGATAGGCTGGATAAACAATCTGGAGGAGAAAACAAAAAGACTGATGGCTCCGGGGGACATGGGGAAAGGGGATATGGGAGAAAGGAAGTGGTGTTAACCAACCCTGGGACAAGGGAAAACAAGTGATCCAAAACCAGTGGCAATGAGGGTGAAAGAGGCCTGGTAGGGATTGATCAAGGGCAATGTAACTGAGAGAAATTACTGAAACTCAAATAAAGGCTGAGCATGATAGTGGGACAAGAGGAAAGTAAAAATGAATAGAGGAAAGAACTAGGAAGCAAAGGGCATTTACAGAGGTCTAAATACAGGCATGTACATATGTAAATATATTTATATATGAGGATGGAGAAATAGATCTATGTGCATATATTTATAGGTTTAGTATTTAGGTAGCAGATGGATATTGGCCCTCCACTCAAGTACTCCCTCGATGCAAAAACACTTTGTTCCATTAACCTGGAATTCCACGATGCTCACCTTTCTGACAAGATCACTGAATGCATGAGCAAATGTGGTGAAGAAAGCTGATGGTGCCCGGCTGCCAAAAGATATAGTGTCTGGGGTCTTAAAGGTTTGAAGGTTAAAAAATGGCCATCTAGCTGAGAAGCAACAAAGCCCACATGGAAGAAGCACACCAGCCTGTGTGATCATGAGATGTTGAAGGGATCAGGTATCAGGCATCAAAGAACAAAAAATCATTATCATTGTGAATGAAGGGGAGTGCAGATTGGGGACTCAAAGCCCATCTGTAGGCAACTGGACATCCCCTTACAGAAGGGTCTCAGGGAGGAGACGAGCCAGTCAGGGTGCAGGGTAGAAACGACGAAACATACAACTTTCCTTTAGTTCTTAAATACTTCCTCCCCCCCATTATCATGATCCCAATTCTACCTTACAAATTTGGCTAGACCAGAGGATGTACACTGGTACAGATAGGAACTGGAAACATAGGGAATCCAGGACAGATGAACCCCTCAGGACCACAGGTGAGAGTGGTGATACTGGGAGGGTGGAAGGAAGGTGGGGCAGAAAGGGGGAACAGATTACAAGGCTCTACATATAACCTCCTCCCTGGAGGGCAGACAACAGAAAAGTGGGTGAAAAGAGACATCGGACAGTGTAAGATATGACAAAATAATAATTTATAAATTACCAAGGGTTTATGAGGGAGGAAGGAAGGGGGAGGGAGGGGAAAAATGAGGAGCTGATACCAGTGACTCAAGTGGAAAGCGAATGTTTTCGGAATGATGAAGGCAACAAATGTACAAATGTGCTTGATGCAATGGATGTGCTTGATGCAATCTTATCGATTGTGATAAGAGTTGTTAAGAGCCCCCAATAAAATGATTTAAAAAATTCCAAAACATTAACTTGATAGATTAGATAGGAATCGTAGTAGGTAGTGAGTTTATGGTAATAGGGAAGAACAACACAAAGGAGGGTGACAATGTTAACTCAAAGAAGGTAATCAGTCATTGAATTATACATGTAGAAACTATTAAATTGGTGTATGCTTTGCTGTGTATATTTTCAACAACAACCAAAGAGCATACATTTATTTATTGGAAGTTCAAAGATTATATTCAGAAGACATCTTGAAGGGCAGATATAATTTATACAAACTATTAAAGGAAGAGTATCACTGGCATTCCAGGGAGGGAAAAAAATCAAGAACCAAAGAATAGAGATTTAAATTTCAGGAATGGTTAATAGACCAGTCTGACTAGAACAACATTTTTTAATTTTTAAATTAAGGCAGTAGTGAGAAACAGGATGCAAAGGAAGATAGACTTGTGGCTCTTGACTAATTGCCAAGCTAAGGAAATGGACTTTATTCTTTAAACAACTGTGAATTATTAAAGACTGAGGGAGAACTTCTAAGAGAAGAATAGCATTTTAAGACAACTGCTCCCTTAGATTAAGGTATGAGTAGAGGGAATGAATACAGCAAGAAAAGTTGAAAGCCCTAGTAATTATGACTTGAGTGTAAATAAAATTAAATTTGCTAGACATTTACTGATCTCCTACCAAGGAAAGGGAGTCTCTGAATGGCACAGTTAGTTAAGTACCTGGCTGTTCAATAAAAGGTTGGCAGTTCGTATCCATCCATAGGTGCCTCAGTAGAAAGGCCTGGAGATCTACTTCCAATTAATCAGCCATTGAAAGTCCCAGGGAGCACTGTTCTCACTAACATGGGGCCTTCATGTGTCAGAATTAACTTATTGGTAAGTGTTTTCTATTTGTTTTCATGGTTTACCAGAGAAAGCACTGCAGTGAATTTCGGGAATAAAGCATGTGACGACGGTCCTCAAGGGGCTTCCACTGACTTTAAACAATGATAGGCTACAGCAGAAAGGGCTGACGTCAGGTGCAAGCAACACACTGGGAACAGAGAAGAAACTGATTCTGACGGTGGAAAGGACAAGTATACACAGGTCAATGTAGAAGTAGTATTAGGATCAGGTAGCTAGAAAGTAAATTCTAAGGTTGATCGTAGAGAGTGATGGGCTAACAGCTGAGTTCAACTAAAAGAACACAGAGGGGGAGGAAAAACAAACACTGATCCTTAGGGATTCAT